TAGAAGCATGATCACAATTAACATAAACTAATTTGTGTTGAAGACCTTTTCTTAAATATAAAGCCACACCTCCACCTCTCACATTTGGACGCTCATTTCGATAACAAACATACCCAGGAATATCAGCCACGTTTAATGACATATATGGTTTGAGCCATGTTTCACTTACTTCGACCACGTCTAAAAATTCTCCATATAATATATCTCTTATTTCGTTCATTTTGAACGAAGAGCTTTTCAAACAAAAACTTTGGCAATTAAAATGCCCAACATTTAAATTCTCCCTATAATTACACAATTGTGAAGCTAAAAAACTATTATCGTTAAAAGCGGTTGTAATATTAGGCTGACTTCCAAAATGTATCAATGCAATGTTTGTATACAATAAAACTACGGTATTTAAACTTCGTACACATGCAAAGTTACCAAACATTGCAACTATGAACTTTGCAAACATTTACAATATAAAATGAATGTGATGCAATCTGTAACTAAAAAATCAGCTGTTTCATGAAAAACAAATATGTATGGAAAGCGTGGCTGTAAATCATTATTTGGCAATATTTTTGTAAGTTATCAGATTGTCAAAATAAAATCCAGACAAACTTCGATGTGTTTATAAAAGTTAAATATAAGTAAAGACGTGTTTTAATACTGCCCAATTAATTACAAAAAAAGTCTTTTCAATGAAAAACGTTAAAAATACATTTATTTGTTCCAAATATTAATATTTTACTAAAATTACTTTTGCGAATCTTCCATTAACTTCCTTTTCTTAGGACATTTAATTTTGTGTTCGTAAACAAACAATGCATCAACAATAAAACCGATGCTTGATTGCTTTTTAACTGCGTTGCAAATGCATGGCAGCGACATTTTGAAATAGTATGCAATGTAAATATTGTTACGTTCTTGGATTTTACTTAATCCCGTGTAGACGTTGTTTTATTTCCCGATACAATTCGTACCAAATAAAACGCAGGTTCTTTCTGATTACGAGTACTACAATGATTTTATTGACACAAATTTACTTTGCACTTTACTTTACTTGACGGTTTCAATTCGCGATCTGATTCACAACTGACTAACTGCCTTTCCATTTCCTCTATTTATATGAGCCTTGCCTGTCGCTACAGAAGTTTCTAGACGATCTGGTAACACCTAGATTACGAACAATCTACCAATGCATACAACTACATTGAGTGAACAATAACAACAACAAACTTACATTGAGTGAACAAACTTACAATAACAACAACACATATACAGGCGAGAGAGTAACAAAGAAAGAGGAATTAAGCGATCATCAATGATGACGTTTAACAAGAATTGTACGACAATAACAAAATAGAAAATGAAAGAGGAAATGGAAGGATGTAGAAAAATCTATACAGTAGTTGTTGTTGTGAAGTTATTCAAATAAACTGCGTAGTAGAAATTTACGTTACAATTCAAATTCTTAAATTAACGGAATTCATCTAAATTGACTTAAATCTAAAGTTATATTCGTAACAATATTTTGTACTGTTGCATTATGAAACAGGATGCATTGTTCGAATGCAAAGCAATTAACATTTTGGAAGTCAGCCTTACTCATTATAAAAATGTAAAAAATAACGCAGCAGAAAAACTGATAAAATATATACTTATAAATAAGATTAGCTACTCTCAATATCTGGCGTTGTCACTGCACCACCACATTCATCTAGGAGCTGAACACATTGACTTATGTCAAGAAGATTAGAAGTACCTCCAAAAAATTCCACCTCGACTTTAGGCACATCTGAGCTTATTAATTTAAATTTTTTTAATTTTATTTAATTTCCGCAATCTCCGACAAACAAAAACTAGTTTAGAAGAAGCAGCATTAAAATGGTCATTAAGGTAGACCCGACTACTAATATGCAAAATTCGTGCAAATCGAAACATATTTAGGGACTTTGTTGCACCATTTACCTTAAATGGACGAAAATATATATGGGAGCTATATCTAAATCTGAACCGATTTTCACGAAACTTAGCACAAACCATTCTAGGCTTATTTTAGTATGATGTACCAAATTTCGTGCAAATCGAAAGATATTTAGGGACGTTGGTACACCATTTACCTTAAATCGGACGAAAATATATATGGGAGCTATATCGAAATCTGTACCGATTTTTACGAAAATTAGCACACAGCATTCTAGGCTTAATTTAGTATGCTGTACCAAATTTCGTGCAAATCGAAAGATATTTAGGGACTTTGATACACCATTTACCTTAAATCGGACGAAAATATAAATCTGAACCGATTTTTCCCAATTTCAGAATAAATTGTTCACAATTTAACATGGACAGACAAACGGACGGACGGACATGCATACATCGATTTAGAAAGTGATTCTATGGATATTCTCAAAAGGAATCATGTGTCTATCTCGTTTCCTTTTGCTGTTACAAACATATGCACAAAGAATTAACAAATCTACCTACCACAAATTATTACCCCTTTTAAGGATAGTCCCCATACAACCCCCTTTTTATACCCTTCACCATAATGTGGTGATGCAATTGTAATGAATAGCAATTCTCTGCTATTGTATAGTTATATAGCTAGTTACTACGTTCACTAGTTACTTTATACCCAAAAGTGACACACAAAATAGATTATTGACTTCATTTGTTGATTGAAAAAGCTATCTAATTCTGTAGTTACTGGTATTGTAAAAAGTAGTGAATCGTCAAACAAAACAAGAAAAGGAATTGTCATTTTCTTCAGACTTTTTATAATTTTCAGAATTGTGAAAGCAAAATTTTTAACAAATATTCTTTTAAACATATATAAGGCCCAGCAAGCATTTTCTATACAAAAAATATCCAAAAAGTTACTACCAGGCGATGAAAACACTCGTAGGCGATATCGTATTTTTAACAAATAAGTTATACCGTTTGGGAAGAAATGGACCACGTAATCGTTACCTTTAAAAATTATCGTCTTCGTCACAGTTTGAAGGTAATAAAGTGACACTCCAAAATGACTCTGTTTTGTTACCTTAAATATTATCGACTTAGTTACTTTCAACTTTCACCAAGAAGATACCTTTAAGATGCGACGAATGCGTGTTTCATTTCTTTTTTTAAAATACGATATCGCCTGGTAGTGAGTTTTTGATACCCAAAGTAAAATACTTGTATGAATAATGAGTAACAATAATGAATAACCTATATTTTGAAAAAAGTCAACATTTAACGCCAAACAAAGATCATATTGATGTTAAGGTTAATACTAAGTAAAACTAAAAACATTATTTAGTTAAATTTGTGAATTCTATCCCGATCGTGTAAAATATGTTGTTGACAAACTTTGTTTAGGTCCAACAACGACGTCTGGGAAATTTTAGATGGCACATATCTGTAAAAATTAATGTTTTAAAAATTTCAAATTAACACAAAAGTAAGCTGACTTGTCTCTTATTATACTATATGTAGCAAATCGCTGAAAACTGGGTTTTTGTATAGTTCCACGACATGTCATTTCAACAGCTATTTGATCACTCATAATAGCTTTAATTGCTAATTTAACAAATGATGACATTTCTTTTCCCCAAACACGAACGGTGACAGAAATTATAATAAAAGTTATATATTATTACCAATTGTTCCCGAACTTCATCTTCTATTAGAAGTTAGGTAACAAAATTTTTAAAATCGTCGAAAACATAAAATGGCAGCGAAGGCAACAATTGCAATTCTTTTTCTAAGGAAGTGGGCATTATGACAGTCTTTTAACCCATAATGAGTATATGATCCCCCTAAAATACTACCAATGTATACTTCGTTTGGAGTTCCTTTTAATATCCTGCAGTCTTTAGGTACATTGATTCCTTCTTCTCTTAACATGACCAAGAGCTTATTATGCGTTATGGTTTACATAATTTTGGGTTGCCCAATCCGATAATTTTTTCGAAAAAGATTCAGTTTTTTTAAGTTGTGCATTCAGTTTTATTTTCGCCGTCATATTCACTTTCACTATTTTCCGAACTGCCATTCACATTAAAATCATCAAGTTCAAAATATCATTGCCTTCTGATGTTCTAATTTGCTCAATACGCATTACCTTTTGCGGAGGATGTTGCATTCTGTTGACTTTGGGAAAAGGTTGAAAACAATCCAGATGCCTTCCTCTTGCTTCTCAATTCAATTACCTTTTTTGATGTAGAGCTCATGTTTGCTTTGAACGATGAATGTTCCAAATGATTCTTCTGTATTTATAACCAAAGAGTTATACATCCATGACCTTAAATCTATATTTTTCCACGCCTCTCTATATACAGCAATGAAAACGATTTCAGGCCGAAGATTTTCTATAATAAAAATGTATCCACAAATTTTTATTCGATGACAAATATTTATAGAACGACAGTTAAATTATGAAACTATCGAATTTCCATCTTCTTTCATTTAACTAATTAGTTACTACAGACGATCGAAATTGGATAACAATTAATTTGTTATTGTAAAATTACGAAGTATCACCCTTTTACAAAAAATAAGTGTCGAATTAGATAATTATTTGAAGATGGCGTTAGAAACTCACTTCCAAATGCTTGCAGGGAGTCATATATATCCACGATATACAAGATGAAGTGCTGTTGAGTTAAAAGTCTCGGAATCTTAAAAATGCATATGATGAATCTTGGGTAAGTTTTGGTATTGCAACGCAATAAAAATATATGTACGTAATATTTCAACATTTTTATCTTACAGATTTTCAATAGATGTCACTCCAGACGTATCCAACAGATTGAGAAAACAATTAAAGGTTATGAATAGGTAAATATTCTCCAAAAAGGCCCATGTCTTTATTTATATTTTGTAATTTTCTGTTTCAGATGCAATATTTCGTAGAGAACGGATGTTAAAAGCGGTCAAGAAACAAAAGAAATGCAAATGTCAATATGGCGGCGTACAAATTCTGATGTCCATGTTTCTTTCGTTAACACGCGAATCAGTGCCAGCAAACGAATTGCTGCCGGGTATTCATTTAGTGTAAAAACTATTGTTAAAGAAACATTCTATCACCCAAGCATTGGTGCTTAGAGGTCACAACGAAATACCAACAACAACGACGAAGACAACATCATGCCTCCCAAGAAGCAAGAAGAACCCGAACGTAAACCATTGATTGGCCGTATTGGTACGAATCTTCGTATTGGTATTGTTGGTGTTCCCAATGTCGGTAAATCAACATTCTTTAATGTTCTGACCAAGAGTGCTGCTCCAGCAGAAAATTTCCCTTTCTGTACCATCGATCCCAATGAGAGTAGAGTTCCCGTGCCCGATGAAAGATTCGATTTCCTTTGTGAATATCACAAGCCAGCTAGCAAAGTTCCTGCATATCTTAATGTTGTCGATATTGCCGGTTTGGTAAAGGGTGCTGCCGAGGGTCAAGGTTTGGGTAATGCTTTCCTCTCACACATCAATGCTTGTGATGCCATTTTCCATTTGTGTCGTGCCTTCGAGGATCCCGATGTAACACACGTTGAGGGAGAGGTAGATCCCGTGCGTGATTTGTCAATTATTTCCGAAGAATTGCGTTTGAAGGACGAAGAAAAGTTAATGCAATATTTGGAAAAATTGGAAAAGGTTGTCGCACGTGGTGGTGATAAGAAATTAAAGCCCGAATATGACTCTCTGCTGAAGATCAAGGGTATTTTGGTCGATGAGAAGAAACATTTGAGATTTTCCGATTGGAATGCTCATGATATTGAAATCTTAAACAAATATTTGTTTTTGACTTCGAAGCCATGCATCTACTTGATCAACTTGTCCGACAAGGACTTCATTCGCAAGAAGAACAAATGGTTGCCCAAAATCAAGGAATGGGTTGACAAAAATGATCCCGGTGCTGTTATGATCCCCTTCTCGGGTGCCTTCGAACAGGCGCTGGCCGAAAAGGACGACCTCGAACGCATCGAATATGAAAATGAAACCAAATGCAAGAGTCAATTTGATAAAATCATTGTAACCGGTTACAAGGCTTTGCAATTGGAATACTTCTTCACAGCCGGTGCTGATGAAGTCAAGGCATGGACAATTCAAAAGGGTACAAAAGCCCCCCAAGCTGCCGGTCGTATTCACACCGATTTCGAAAAGGGTTTCATTATGACTGAAGTTATGCACTTTAAGGATTTCAAGGAGGAGGGTTCCGAAGCCGCTTGTAAGGCTGCTGGTAAATATCGTCAACAGGGCCGTAACTACACAGTGGAAGATGGTGATATTATATTCTTCAAATTTAATGCTGGTGCTGGTCTCAAGGATGCCAAGAAGAAATGATGCTGTTTAGTGATGATTTTATTTACAATGTTTTATATTAATTTGATTTTTTACTCGCAAAGCTTCTTAACGCAATAATGATGATGATGATTATGTCCAATATAATTCACACATATATACATATATGCATTTCTCATTTAACATAGTTTTTAAGAATGATTCGGAGTGTTGTATTTACAGCCGCTTTGGTTTTATCATTTTATATTGCATTGAGTTAGCTGTTGACCGAATTACGTGTGAAAGAATGACGTATAAAAAACAATTCAATAAAGAAAAAAATATTTGAAAGGAAAAAAAAAAATTGTAAACAAAGTACAGGTCGCATTTATAATCCATATAATATATATATATATATATATATATATATTCATCCGATTTTTATCCTACATCCGATTTTTATCCTACATATCTTTCGATTTACACGAAATTTTGCACAGTGTACTGAATTAAGTCTAGAATGTTGTGTTAAGTTTCAGATTAAGTTTTAGCTCCCATATATATATATATTCATCCGATGTAATGGTAATGGTGTAACAAAGTTCCTATATATCTTTCGATTTGCACGAAATTTAGCATAGCGTACTGAATTAAGTCTAGAATGATGTGTGTTAAGTTTCCTGATAATCGCTTCAGATTTATATATAGCTCCCATATATATTTTCGTCCGAATTAATTTATACCAATGATGGAGGGTATCCAAAGTTCGGCCCGACCGAACTTAACGTTTTTTTCACTTGTTTCTTCATTTTAGCACACAATGGTACTAAATGTAAAATTTGGTTGTTTGTGTCACCCTGTAGTTTCGTTAAAATGTTGTTATCGAAAGTTAGCAACGTAGCTAACTCCACGTAGATTAATTGAACAAAGCTCCATTCTGTTGTGAATGATGGATTCCCCGAAATTCAAAATTTAAACAAAGAAAAAGCCCGACCGAACTTACCGTTCAATTATACTACGACAGCAGTACTTTTTTAATAGTAAAGCTAGGAAAGGGAAACATTTCAAAATCGATCTAAGAGTACAAAATAATTTGAAAAGTTCGGGAACGCAAATCTAGTAAATATGCCAAAATTAGATGGCAATACTTCAAAATGAACATAACAGCCCATCAGAAAATTGCATTCCTGTTTACCATTTTAACTCGTTCAAATTTTTCGAGTAAAAAGTTTACATGGAGAACGCGATTTTGTTTTGTGTTCTCTTAAATTTGGTTCAAATTTGTGGGGTTGAGGAACGGTTTTCGGGTAAAAAGTTGTAAAATTAGTAGATTCTTGTTGGTTATGGAACGGAACTAATGGTACTAAGTGTAAAATTTGGTCGTTCTGTATCACCTTGTAGTTTCGTTCAAAATGTTGTTATCGAAAGTTAGCAACTTAGCTAACTCCACGCAGGTTAATTGAACAAAGCTCCATTCTGCTGTGAATGGTGGATTCCCCGAAATTCAAAATTTAAACAAAAAATAACCCCATATCATGCATACCCGGTATGGTCCATATAATGGGCTTTTATAAATGTGTCATGATTCTCAATAATATTAGTCTTCTGTTTTATTTCAAACTGTGCAGAGTGAATTGAAAAAAAATAAATAGTAAATAAATAAAGTGATATGGCGACTGGGGAAAATAAAAATCTACTCATGAAAGTTGAAGGACATCATCCATTGAACTTCGAAAAATACAAAGATATTATGGAAACTCCAAAAATTGTTGGATTTTATTCATATGACTACAACAAATTTGAACCATCAAAGTATATTAAATACTTTAAAGAACCGAAATCATCGAGCTATCCTTTAAATTTAAATGGGGGCGAATGGATTCCATGCCAAAATGGTCAAAGTGATACTAGGCTTCATATACCTCTAACTTATGCCATGACCATAGACGATTCGATCAATCAGCCCAATGTGAAGACCACAAATGTATATACCGGTCGTCGTGTACTTACACAGCTAATGGAATATTGTTATTCTATACATGATGACACGATATTTGTAACACGCCACAATGGAAATTTATACATGACTAGCTTGGTGTATAGGCATACACCACCACATATGCACCACAAACGTTTGGAACAACTTTTATTTACAGGTACGTATAAAATAAAATCAATTTTTACAGTTCGTCCTCGGACGGCTCACAAGAAAGACGTGACCTAAAAAGGTTTAAATGAGTATTATACGCCCACTGGCTTAAAAATAGATTTTTACAAAATGGCGGTTGTTAAGCGTTCGCTTAACTAACACGTGTGTTTTCAAATACGGATAACCTATAAAGTCCGAGTCGTTCAACAGAATCCAAACAGCTGTGCATGAAATTTTTAATTTTCGTAAATTTAATAACAAAAGAAGATGCTTCCCGCAACTATGTGACTCCTTCACAGTAGAAGAGTTCACTGATACACAAGGCTTAGAAAGTCTGAACATAGTGGTCAAATTCTTAAAGAAGATCGAAGTCAACCTGCAAAACACAAACCCCACCATCTATGGATAAAGTCAAATTCGTAGCTTAAGCTACACATGGAGACATTCTATGCCAACAAATAAAAATTAATATATCTGTTATTATTATCTGTCCATTGTATATTCGGTTCGATTGTGTGCAATATGAATCACCAAATCTAAATCTATTGTAGAGATAGAATTTGAGATGAATTGTTTTTAAAAAATGCGCAAATTTAAAGTGAAACTTATTTTACTTTAAGAACAGAATTAACAAATCGCGCAAAAATATTTGGATATTGGTAATAAGACCTTCTAACTTCTAATTGTCGTCGTAAATACTATGTGGAAATTTATCAGAAGTTGCTACAACTATTGGAGCTTAATAAAAATTGTATGAAATAGGGTAAGTGCTCCTAATGTCGGCATGTACCAGTACTCGGCATCAGTTGTATATAACTTCAAATAACTAAAAAATCCTTTGGCTAAATATGAAAACAGCTTTGAATAATCTTCAATAATATTTTCAACTATCTCTGTGTAAAATTTCATCAATCTAAGTTAATTTATTAGGCAGTAATTAAGGGTTTTCTCGATTTGGTTCTTTCACCACTAGAGACAGTACATGTTTCTTAGGAAAAAATTAGTGATCATGCCGATTTTAAAAGACTCATAACTTTATTTAAATTATATATTTTTCACTCGAATTTTCTTCATAATTGTTAGGAACATACAAAGGAACACTTTAGAATTTAAAATTATTAAGAACTATTTGTAATTATTATATTTTTATGGATGCCGCCCTTAGGAATAACAAATATTACGATCTTCCTATAGTCGGCATATGGGTGAAAAATAAGCACATTTTCGATCATTTTGGCTCAATATTGGGAAGAATGTTAAATAAGTATTCTAAAAGCCGATTCAATTATAAAACAATAATTTTGAGTAGGTTTACACAATATTAGGCATGGTCTTAATCTGAAACATTTTTAACCTATAAAGTAAGTGTATAAGACATGCCGAGTATTGAATAACTGTTTTCTGAAGTTGGCAGAAAAATTTATAATTGTAATATTTTCATAAAATAAAAATTTTGGTACATATATTGGGAAAAATGTCCTGACTCCGAATCAGTTCGCGATTAAATGTTTCGTTGGTGGGAGCAAAAGTTATATTGACCAAAAACGTTGATATATGACTTCCTTCGTAAAATCTGATAAAAATAACAAAATTAAAGGAGATTGCGTTATTATTTTCATTATATTAATGACATGTATTAACTTAAAAATTAATTTAAAAATATATACATACATAATCGGAACTCCATGATGAATCAAATGACAAAAGTCTATGTAGCGGTTGGTAAATTACAGCGACAATAAAACAAGAGATTGAGGAAAAATATTTGTTTTTGGTTCGAAGAAATAATGTAATCATATTTATTTTTTTACAAATTTCAGAAATAAATGTTGGGATCAAGGCCTTGATTGGGACTACTTTTCTTGTTTAACCGAATTTCACCGAAAAATGAACTTATATAAAGATAATAACTTCTTGTGTATAGGTATACACCTTGCGGATTATAGCAAGACCTTTCCGAAAAATGATGGGGTTCTATATATATATATATATATATATGAATACATCTTAAAATAAAACTATATTCTGAAATATATATTTTAAAAAGCGTCTAAATCGGGTAATTCTCTAATTCATTTGATGCACATGCGGTTTCCAGGAAATACTGAAGTTTATCTTCCAATCCATGTATATTTTGCGAAATTTAATTTGACGGCTAAGATGTACTACATATTGCATTGAAGTACCCAAAAAATCGTAAAACGCGCATAATTTCCGAAAAGTCCATATGCCTTCCGATTTCGGTGTGCATCCTAAAAAAAAATATATCGATCTATAAGTATGTCAATGCGGTCCATTAACCCGAGCTGTGCTAGCGTGACCATATGGTCACACTTATAAGACGATCAATAAATCATTTAAAAACACTGATCCTGTGGATTATCCTGATAAGAAAAAAGGATACAAATCAAATTTTTGGATTCAGTGACCCACAATCTATAAAAAAAAAATTACAGCACACACTATTTTTGAAATAAATTGGATACATCTCTCTTTCGGCTGAAGTTTTTAAAGTTCTGTTTTCGCAAAAGTTCAAAATTCGTATCAGGTCATTTATAGCAATGTAAATAATCCACCTTTGGATGAGGATTACTCTGAAGCTGTGCATACTACATACACAAAATATATATACCAAATTAATCTTATAATCGATTTTTAGAAATTCCTGTTTTGCGTATTAAAAACAAAAATACTAAAAAAAACATTAAAAATCGAGCTTCAAAATGTTAGCATCATTCAAATGTAGATGGTGTTAAGATTTTAAAAAATGATACATAAGAGAAGTAGCCCTAATTTAGTAGGCTTCTGGTTTTACTTTGACACAAAGACCGGTAAATGAGTGTCTTAGTCACATATCGACAAAGAACATAAAAAACCTAGTTCGTCTTAAGCTGTTTTTAAGCATTTTTACATTAAAGTAGACACAGCTTCCACACAAAAGTGTGGAAATATCATGAAAAGTTTGCAACGACAGATCAATTAACCCAAAACAATTCACTGA